CAAACGGTACCAGCCCTGATTTCTCATTAAAAAGACATAAAACTTATTAAAAATCAAAAAAAAAAAATTGAACCTTCTTGTCATCATCGGCGAACTTCTCGGCATCGTTAATCATCCTTTCGATATCTTCCGGAGACAACCGGTTATGATCATTTGTGATTGTTATCTTATTCTTATTGCCAGTGCCCTTATCTTCAGCCGTAACATGCAAAATGCCATTGACATCGATTTCGAATGTGACCTCAATCTGTGGTACACCACGAGGTGCTGGTGGGATGCCGGTCAAATCAAATTTGCCCAAAATGTGATTGTCTTTGGTCATTGGTCGTTCTCCTTCATATACCTGAAATAAGCCATTTCATAAGTGCTACGAAACCAAGGAACTATCCGATTAGAAAAAAATTTTTTCTACATCGCCAAACAAACTGCATATGTTAACACCTAGAAGATTTTAGGTTCCTGTCCTCTTCCAGTCTCCTAGGCAGAGATTTTCCATTTAAAGTTTATTTTATTTGCATCTTTAAAATTTCTAAAACACCTCCCATGCCATAAAACTTAAGTGTTTTAAGTTTGGCTTCGGCAACAAGGGAATTTTTTCAATAATATTGTTTATGTGATATTGTACTTTTTACTGAAAAGTTTGTTTTACTTCCAAAATGGTCCCAGGGAATGCGAAAACGAACCTGGATAGTGACAACTGGCTGATTGTCAGCAGCCGTCGAGAAGATCTGACTTTTCTTGGTCGGGATGACCGTGTTCCGCTGAATCAACTTCGTCATCACACCACCAACAGTTTCGATACCAAGTGTTAGCGGGTTCACATCCAACAACACAATATCACCGGTACTTTCCTCACCCGAAAGTACGCCCGCTTGTACAGCTGCACCATATGCCACCGCTTCATCCGGATTGATACCACGAGATGGTTCCTGTATTTAAAAGCACATAAAGCCACAAGCAGTCAAATCAACGCTGCCCGAACAATCAATGTTAAAAATCCGATTTTTGCCCATACCGGGCTCAGCTATTCCAGGTCTTTCGATCCCGAGCTGTGTGTCTCCAATTAATACCCATCTCCTATCCTCAAAAATGTCAAAAACCCCTCAAAAAGACTATTTTCTGCCCCCCCCC